CATCGAGTCGATCCGACTCTTAGCGACCCTCTAGGGCAGGATAGAACTGCTCCTGCAAGTTTCGGAGACTGTCTCTGTTTATAGGAGCAAAACCAGGCAAGTAAGGGAGGGGTATGTGTGCTAGGGGTGGTCTGTGCTTCTCCACCGAGTTCCTGATTTCCAGGGAGGTCTTGGGAGTTTCCAGTGTAGACAGAAGAGAACAGATGGTGCCTATGGACAGATTCCCACCCTGCTTCTCCCAGGAAGCACTTTTTAAATCCAATTTGTTATATTCCGTTTCCATCTGTCATTATTTTGTGATTCATATCCAATTTTGCTTGCATAAAGGGTCCAAACAAAACAAAACAAACAGCTCACTACCATCCGGTCAATGCCAGCTCATGGCAACAGTACAGGACAGAGTAGAACTGCCCCCATGGGTTTCCAAGTCTGACCCTCTTCACAGGAGCAGGAAGTCTCAGAGTGGGTTCGAACTACCGACCTGTGGCTAGCAGCTCAACCCTTAACCCCCAAGGCCACCAGTGCTCCTAGAATAAACACTCTTTCTATTTAGTTGGGAATGTCTAAATGCTTTGTCCCTGGTGCGTAGGGATCATCCTGGCTTGGGAAACAGAGAAGATGCGGAGAGATCAAATCTTTCAGGAACTGTGAGTTGTGGAGCTGATGGTGGCTTTACTGTTACTTTTCGCGTTCCGTCTTTGAAGTGTTTTGCCAAAGAGATCCGAGTGCTTGGAATGTCCCTTTCAAAGTGTGTGTGTGTGTGTGTGTGTGTGTGTGTGTGTGTGTGTGTGTTGGTTTGGCAATGGTTCTCCCTTGCCCAACAACTAGGAATATTAACTATTCTGAAGGAGAATTGAGTGTATTACCTCTGGGACCTTTTACCTTCCCTCCCTCCCTCCAGAAAAGCCTGTCTTTAAGGCAATAAGGAACTAGAACTTGCTCTACAGAAGTGGGCTTTGTGGGAGACTCGGTGTGTCCCGACGCTTCAGGAGTGAGTGCGAACACTGCTGCGAACCCCAAGGGGGCTTGTGTGGCTCTCTGATGCTCTCGGGTCCCTTCTGCAGAACCACTGACTGGGCTCAAACCTCCCACCTTTGGTTGGCCGCCAAGCTCTGCCCTGGGATTTTAGCATATGGCAAGCCTCTGGTCTGGAGTCTCAGGGCGTGATTTTCAAGGTCTAGGAAGGGGCGTGGGGGTGTCTCCACATCTCTCCTAAAACCAAACTGCCCCCATCAAATCAATTCCAACTCATGGTAGGGCAGGGTAGGAGTGCCCTGTGGGTTTCTTTAAGTGGGTAGAAAGCGTCATTGTTCTCATGAGGAGCAGATGGAGGTTTCAAACTCATGACCTGGCCCAGTTTGTCATCCACTGCCCCACCTCACGCACCACCATCAAGTGGAAGCTGACTCAGCGGCTCTCTAGGACAGGGTAGGACGGCCCCTGGGGGTCTCCCAGGCTGTCATTCTTTGAAGGAGTGGACAGCCTCGTTTTCCTGGTGGTTTCAAACTGCTGACCTTGTGGTGAGAAGCCCAGCTGTGTTGCCAGGATAAACGGCTTTTATCCTTTCCATCACTGAGCCCCCCTGTGACTCCCCTCTCTGCCTCGCCAAAGCTCAGGTTCAGCCTTGGAAGGAGACCCAAATCCAAGGCCTTTTCCACCCCTCTCGCTTGGACAGAGACACCCGTAGACTTTACCACTGGGACCTCACGAGTCTGCCTCCTCTTGTCCTTCCCCCTCTGTTATATGAGCTGGGGGGCGGGGGGCGGGGGAGACAGTCCATTTGGTTTTCATTCAACTTTCCTATGAGCTATTTGAAGCGTCCACCTCTGTATTAGCAGCTCCAGTGTCTGCCCCATAAGTTCACGTCTGTCCCGCTTGGCTGTCTTACCAGGCTTGGTGGTGTAGTGGCGACGTATTAGGCTGCAATCTACGACGTGGTTGGCAGGTCGGAACCACCAGCAGCTCCAGGAGAAAGACTGGGCTTTCTACTCCCATAAGCAGTTTCCGTTTCATAGTGTGAGTTTAGCGTTCATTCGCTAAGCATTCATACTGGGAAGCCAGGCAGATCCACGTGACTGGTGTGATGGGTTCAATCTGCTTGATTGCCATTGCCTGGGGCCTACGGAGAACCTATTATGTGAGGGGTGCCTATAGGTGGGCCAATTTTGACAAGCGGGCGTGCCCCCTCATTGGTCTCTAATTGAGGCCCAGGGCACTCCAATCACCCCCAAAAGCTCCCTGTGTTTCTTTGCAGCGCTCCCCTCCACACCCACAGTCCCCGCCCCAACCCCAGGAAGCAGGTGGCCAGTGTGATTCTGAATCTTTTGAACCACTTTGTCTGCCTCTCTTTGGTTCTAGTATTCGGCTCGTAACCACTCAAGGTAGTGTGGCTGAAAGGACTGGCACCCAAGACAGGGTGCCTCGGTCTGCTTGGCTCATGGCATCCAAGATACTACTAATAACAGACAATAATAGCAACAACTTCAATTAAAAACATTTATTTTGAACTACAGTGTTCTTATGCAAATAATGCTTTGCACAAATAATGCATGTGGTACACAGGTTTTCTTTCTTTCCTTTTTTAAAAATAATTT